TAATGAGAATTGATATGGCTAACGTTATGCTTATCATGAGTATTGTCGCGGCTAGGGTGATATTGGTCCGAGTCTTTGAATTAACTGTAAAATACATTTGTTGTTGCGGCATATACGTACAAGTATAGTTTAAAATTTTTTCAGGTTTGTGTATCGCGAGAGTGAGAGGCGGGGTGATTATATTACTGTTTACGTATCTATTGGTTCCGGAGTCGAAGCGTTTTTCTACGTCTTTTATGGTGCATCCAAAGTCTGCTTTTATGATCCCATATCCATTTGATAGCGGGTGATATTTATTTTCTCCGCAGAGGACGATGATGTGTTAATTTTCTGTCGAATAGAGCCATTGAGAGGGGTTGTATGTTTTAATGATGTAAGATGGCCTAGCGATGATTACTTGTATGTTACATCTGGTCGTGCGATTATCGATCTGAGATCAATATTTTTAGGATTAAGGAATATTTCTATTTCACAAGAGTTCAGTTTTATGTCACGTGATAACGATTGGCATAAGTACATATCGATGAAAAGACATTTACTTAGTTCTGACTGTTTAATAAAATAAGATTCACGGTGACTGTATATTTTAGCGCTCAATAATCCGCTGTGGGTATGATGCGAGCTGTGATCGTTTTATTGCGGCTATTTGTTTTTTTAAATACTGGCCATGATATGCATTTGTATAGTTTGAAAGTCGTCATTTGTACGAGCGAAAATATTAATTGTATCATGATTTCGCTATCGACTATCTGAAAAAAGTTGACTGTATTTATATAAAGATTGAGTAGTTATTGCTTCGACTGGAATCGGCATTTCTTATTGAGAAATGGTATTTATAAAGTAACTTACACACTGTATCTTACTTACTTACTAACTACTAATTAGTCTTACTGAAAATATAAACTTATTTTGCTGCATTGAGTTGGTAATTTTTTCTATGAGATTTTTCAAGATGACAAAGATGTGATAGGTTTCAAGTAACAAGATGTTTGCTTGCGCTTGTACCTTAGTTGGTGTGCTGATGGCACTCCTTTTAATTACAGTAAGGTTGCCTGTAAGTTTTTTAGTCGCTCCGTAGCTGCTTTCTCATTTTGGTTTATATCATTATCTATGTAATAGGTGCATTTAACTTTGTACGATTTTAATAATCTATGGACTATATATATAGAATTGTGGTTGCCTAGTTCTTGAATTTTGACTGCTAATTCTTCTATTGTACGGACAGTACCTCCATAAACGTCAATATATCTGCCCCAAATGTTACTATACTACTTTGTAATTTTTTAACATTTAATTTTAACGTTTTGATTGACGCTGAATCAACGCTGATTCAACGTTGAATCAGTGTTGAATCAACAATGTAAATTACAACTGATTTCAGTGTTCCATCATTCATGGAATCAACGTTGAATTAACGTTGATTCAACGTTGGTTCAGCGTTGATTCAACGCTAAAATCAATGTTGATTCAGCATTGATTCAGCATTGAAGTTTTTGATAGGGGTAAGACAAGGTGTCATTGTGGATGTTTCTTTCCAGAAGGGTGGTGTTAAGATTGGTTTAAATGTCGGTGAGGTCATAATGAGCTTCTTGAAGATGTTTAGTGTCTATGTGAGACACTATGGACCAAAATTCGGTTATTGTCCTCATATCTTGTATTTTTTCAAAAGCGACTCCTCAGTTAAAGTTTGATTGATGAAATTCAGGTATTACCTCGACACTTGTCGTTGTCATGATTGTAATTATAATATAACTGAAGAACATTTTTAATACCTGAAAAAGAAATAAAGATATTCTGAGTCAAAAAAAGGGAAATTATTTTTTCCTCCATTTTTTTGTTTTACACAGCTGTATCTAAGTATTGCTGCAGTTAAAGGTTTTTAAGATCTCGTAATAAGTGATTGTCGAATCGTTCGGCGTGTTGGCGGCACTCTTTAATTGAGCGTTGTGTAGTACGCGGGTGGGCACATGTAGCGACCTACTGGGGCTTCCTCAGTCAAAAATTTATAGCTATTAATATGCCTATAATTTATAGCTATAATTATAGCTATAACTACCTATAAAACAGCTATAATAATGTATAAAATTCACCTATAAATATAGCTATAAATTACAGCTGTAAATTTTTCACAAATAATGAATAAAAATTAGTTTAAAATCAGATTTTTTCAACATTTATCGATCAATATAGACGGTATCATCCGTAAGATAACAGTAAAACTGAGGACCTAAAGTATTTTTAAACAATTTTTAAAAAACTTGAAATTGTATTTCTTATTTTTTTTTCTACTTGTACAAAAATACTTCAGGCCCCCAGTTTTACTGTTATCTTACGGATGATACCATCTGTGCTGATCGATAAATGTTGAAAAAATCTGATTTTAAACTAATTTTTATTCATTATTTGTGAAAAATTTACAGCTGTAATTTATAGCTATATTTATAGCTGAATTTTATACATTATTATAGCTGTTTCATAGGTAGTTATAGCTATAATTATAGCTATAATTTATAGGTATAATTATAGCTATACATTTTTGACTGAGTCTTAAGCCCTTTTATAAAACAAGCTATTACTAGTTTTTCACGCTCCTGGGGTGTTTGTGTTATCTCTGGGTAGTTGTGTTACGGTATTTTACCCGCTCTAATATAAAACTGTAAGACACGGTCATTTCTGTATAAGTAATTAGTCGTTGATTCATTTCTACGTTGTTTTGTCCAAATTGTTGCTTCATTAATATCGATTGAATGGTTGAGAAAATTTTATTTTTGGATTAATTACGTTAAGAGATTTATTTCCTGTTTCGTGTTAAAAGGATTTTTTTTTTTCATACACATATCTAGATACCCAACAACCCTTCAAAGCATGCCCACTTTTTTTAAGACAATAGAGAAAAAAAATGCGAAAAGTTGTTTCATAATTGGTACTTTTATCTTATCTTGGCTTCAGAGTAAGCTAGAACATTTTTTTTTTTAATTTAAATTCGTGTTTTTTTTTTACGACAAATCTAATATATGACGTTTGTTAGAAAAAAAAGTATGTAAAATTGGCTCAGGTATTTGCAATTGTTTAAGTTGTAAAATACGATTTTTGCTAGCAAAGTTAAATTTTTTCTTACTTGTTATCATTACTAACATTCAATACAATGTTTTTTTATCGAAGTGAAATGTTATTAAACTGACCATGAAGTCTGTAATGTCTCTTCAAAAATTCAGGTTAAAAAATTAATTGTTAAAAAGCTGACAATTATTTTGCAATTTTTAAAATAGCTAAATATATTTTTTATGCAACTTCAATACCTATACTTTTTCTTAACCAATTGGTTATATGTCTATAAATTAACATGATAGTCGATTATTAACGTCGATCTAAAGTTTTTCAGAAAAAAAAATTTTTTTTAGCATTTTCTTGCCATTAACATGTTATTTATTATGTGGACATATTAACAATTAATAATGGATTTGCAAAAGTGTCTGTTTTATAGAAAATTAGATGACGAAGAGATGGGTGCATGCAAAATTTCTCCAAGAGCAATAATAGAAGCGGGTAAATAAACAAAAAACTAAATAAGAAATTCCTGTTCCTTCATAAATTGTTAAATAAATAAATAAAGCCGACGTTTGATTTGGGCAAAACTATTTTTCTCGTCTTTTTTTGGAATATTCTGAAGGGAAATGACCCATTTTTTCCCTACTGGAAAACATAAGATTAAGTCGTTTTTTTTGTTTACGGGCAATGGACTATACGTATAAACATCTGGTCATAAACCAAGTTTGCACCGATGGCTAATTAACACTATTCTTGGATAAAAGATTGCCATATCTGAACCTAAAGGGTGATGATGAATAAACAAAAAACAAGTATATATGGTATAAATATTGGTATTCAACCGCCATTTGCTGGAACTTAAATAAAACAGCACAAATATTTTACAAAACTTATGCCTACATGGAGGATATGGGACTTGGGACATGGGACCAGTGGACCACCCATTGTAATAAATATATAAGGTGGGCTCTTCAGCCACCGAACCGATCAGCCAATCAGGAGGCTTGGAACTAGCGACCTTCCTTATTGGATTTTCCACCAATGAGCGTAGAGAGCGCGTTGATTAACTACTTAGGGCTCGGGCACCTGGAGAGCGTAACGCGTACTGCGTAACCGTTTAAGCCCATAAGAGTGAGAGAGAGGTTCGCGTACTTTACCTCTCTCTTACTCTTATGGGCTCAAAAGTTTACGCGGTACGCGTTACGCTCTCCATGTGCCTGCGGCCTTACACTTTACTGCTGAAAATAAATACAACTCACCTTGGAAAGCAGTATTAAATTAATAGCTTTGTACGTACAACGTAAATTAGAATGCCAGAGATGAAAAAAAAAACTGACTTCTGATGTTAAAATTCTCATAAAAAGAAAAAAAAAAATTGTAAAACTTGTTTATTCAAATATTTAATAAACTATATTCCTTGTACATTTTACAAATAATCAGATGATTATATTGAGTTATATTTATACATAAGACAGTGCACCTAACAAATTTTAAACACATTTAGCGAGAAAATTTCTTACCCTGAACTCTTGTTTATGTGTAACAGTACTACAGTAGTTGAACAACGCGCTCTCTACGCTCATTGGTAGAAAATCTAATATGGAAGGTCGCTTGTTCCAAGCCTCCTGATTGGCTGATCAGTTCGATGGCTGAACAGCCCACTTTATGTATTTCTTACCCCATGGGACCACCTGTACTTGTATATCGTACACCGCGACATTGGCCTATGCATAGACATATAAAAAATAGACTGCTCGTTCTTATGTACGGCGCTGAAGCACAAGTAGAAAGAGACACATCACCGAACGTGTTTATCGATGTGCACGTTCGATGTTGTGTCTCTTTCTACTTGTGCTTCAGCGCCGTACATAAGAACGAGCAGTCTATTTCATAAATGTCAATGGGCCTAGGCAATAATATAAGCTTTCGAAGTGGAAAAAAGTTTAGTGGTTCGGCTCCTGCATTATGTTAATGTGAATAGCTCATTGGTCATTTATAGTCCTGAGTAGATCATTTTTTACTTCTTCTCTAGTAAATTATTGAATTTCTCTGAAGCAATTTTTCGTTAATTGATTTTCAATACCGTACCCAGTGAATTTTTAATGGAATAATTGAGCTTATAACCTCACATTGCAGCTTGCACTATGACTTTTTTTGAAGTAGGCTTGTTTGATTAGGTTGAACAATTATCGTTCAAAGTGTGATAGCAACTTGATAACTAAATCAACAAATTTTTGTATTTCAGTGGCGTCGCTTCAATTTTTTTGATTTAGAAAAAGAGGTAGACTCTGGAAAAATTGCTGAGGTCCTTGCAGTATGTCCATTATTTTTGTTAGACTAATACACCTACAAACATCATTACCTACCAAACTATTAAGATGGATAGCTCTTTGTTGCAAAATTTTTAAAATTTCTGCTGAATACTGTTTATTCTTAAAAACTTTTCAGGGAGCCCAAGTTGTAGCAGCTACAAGTGGTAATGGACTACTAGTTTTTGCTGATAGTACAGGCAGTATTCATCTTGTAAACAGGCATTTTAATGTAGTCACGTTTAGAGCCTATGAAGCTACTGTAACAGCTGCTCAGCAAGCACAAAATTCAACATTTCTGTTTACAATTGGAGTAAGTCAATTTGATGCTGGTCTATTAAACTTATTTATTTACAAGACCTTTTGACTGTTGAAATTTCATATTTTTTCTGCTGTATATTGTTTCTTTAGATATGGAACTACTTTTTTTTTTTGGTAATTGCAGGAGGATGATCCTGGATGTAATCCAACCATCAAAGTTTGGAATTTAGCTGTAAGAGACAAACAAGACTGTCCTCTGTGTGTTCGCATTAGCAGAGCTATACCCAGTTATAAGGCAGTGCCTGTCAGTGCACTGTGCATCCATTCAAGCTTAACATTAATGGCTGTTGGTTTTGAGGATGGATCCGTCATGCTTTATAGGTACTTAAACTTAATTATATATTATTTGAATTCTACTGTATCAGGTAATTGCAGGTGTGTAACATGTATAATAGACCATACGCCGGGGATTTTGGCCTGCATTCTCCGGGTGGAAGCAATGTTTTGATTGATTCTTAAGCACCTTGTGCCGTGGAATACGATTATCGTTACGCGTACACTGTAAAAGTTCGCCTTCATTTTTTAATCTACTAATTTATTGAAAAAAAGTGACTCTTTTCGCGTTTTCTTTACATCACCTCTTCTGGGCATTTTTTGAAATCCATAACTATAGAGTTTTTTGTTCCATATTTATTTATTTAAAAAGTAAGCCCTGGTAGAGATCGCTAAGCATATTTTTTTAACGGTAAATAGCGTTTAACGTTGAAAAATGTGCTCTTTGAACACAATTAATATCTTGAAAACAACAAAACCTAGAAGCTTGAGATTTTCTGTAATTGTTGATGATAATAGTCGCACCAAATTTTATTAAAATCGGTTTTAAACTTTTCGAGTAATTGACTATTTGTTAAATCATTCAAACCAAGCCGAAAAATTAAAAAAACCATCCAAGTTTTGTATCTCGTTCGAATTTAAAAAAAACATTGATTTCGACCAATTTTATAACTATTTTGTAGCCACACTATTTTAAGACACATGTATAAAACTATACAACTTTTTGAATTAAACGTCTTGAGAATTCGCTTTTGTTTTGTTGTAAAGCTGTTATTTTATTATGAGTTTAAAAAAAAATGTCCTAGCATGCTCAGGAGTCGAGATCATTTTTTTTTCTTAAAACTCTTAACCCCTTAATTATTAAGGGAGTTCACTCGTACCTTACCTCTGTGACACTTAAGATCAGCAGTATTGTAACCTGCATGAATATATAAATACATATATATATATATATATACATATATAAAGTGACTTACTAACTGTAGCTGTTGAAGAATTATTTTTTCACTAATTTATTGCTCATTCCATAAACCACGAGTGAAGATGAGACAACAGCTACGTTATCACTAAGTTTTTAGCTATTTTCTATCAAACCTCCCATCAAATCTTGACGTCGGTTATCCAGATATTGCAGGTTATGTATCAGAACAGTACTGATTCTCATAAGACTGCACGTTAAAAGTTTGAGAATAAAATTATCAGTCTCTCACTTTATAAGCCCTAAAGGGACTTGAAATTTGAATCGAAGATTTTTTATACACTAATTAATCTCTGTTCAAAGTATTGCACATGTTGTTCAATTCTTATAATTTCATAAAAAAACAGCGATCTGTATGCAGCCAGATAATAATTAAATCCCGGTAAAACAATCACTACTATGTTATCGCGCTCCAGATTTCTAGTTTCAGTGGAGGGATGAGAGGCGAGGGTAGCTTGACGATAGATAATCTAAGGTTACTATTGTTATTATGCACGATATAAATATTAGTTTATAATTTAATATTTTTGTTTAGCCGTAATTAAGATGTTTTTAATTGCATATAATTATCTATTAAAAATAATTTAATATTAATAATATTCTGTGTTACATAATACTTACGTGGCACCATAATCTACTCAGAAAAATTTGTTGAATGATGAAAAATGTCATTGTATAATTTACAACTATATAAAAAACAATAAAACGCTTGGATGTAGTTGGGAACCGATAAGAGAGTACTTAGCGCGCCTTATTTCAAAACATTTCTAGAATTATTTTCCCAAATTGTAGTGCAAAAACAAGAAAAACAATGTTCACAGATAAATCAAATTTAGTTTAAACAATGTTTTTAAAAAACGTACTTGATAACAATTTTATGGTGCAAAAATTCATATTCTATTAAACAATGAAGAAAGCCAAACATTTTTATCGTACATAACAACAATAATAATTAACTTTCGATTATGTATTGTCAAGCTACCCCAAATTAATTCCAAAAAAATTTTTTTACGTCCAGAGGAAGCTGAGAACACGATAGTTTAGCAAGCATGGAAGGTTTAAAACTACTTGATCTCTTTTCGTCAAGCTGCGGTGTCTATGAAGCTAGCGTAGCCAAGTCATAGGGCCATAATAAAACTCACACCATATTTTTTTGCTAATTATTTGCTATTTTTTTGCCAAAGAATTGATTTTTTTGCCATAGCCGTTTCCGAAAAACAATGGTCCTGCTGACTTGAGACTCAAGTCAGCGTAGCCAACGTAATATTGTTAGATCTCTTACACTTATCAAAACGAGCTTGAGGGCATAATTTTTTGCTAATTATTTGCTACTTTTCTAGCAAAGAATAAATTTTATTGCTGCTACCATCATCGAGTAACAATGGTCCCACTTGAGGTATAAGTCAGCATAGCCACCGCTGTATTTCTAGACCTGTAGTATCAATTCGAATAGGATATGCGGGATATTCTTTTGCTAGTTATTTGAAAACAGTTTTAAAAAAATGCTAATTACTAAGTTGCCAAGAAGCTAATCAAGTTTAATTTTTAACAGAAAATTCAGCCATAAACAGCGTAACACAATTATTCTATATGAAATGTGCATTTTTTTCAACGGTATGGTTGAACTCATAACTGTATTGACTTTTTAACCCATGTATGCCTTTTTGCACAAATGGCTCTTTTTTGCAGTTTCTAACTAAAACTTCTTTATAAAATCTGGCAAACTCCTCCAAAACATTATATCAATTTTATAGGATATCAAAAATACAAAACTGTAGAAATTTATTCGATCTGATAATTCGCTTACGCTTTTAAGACTGACAGTGCCGTAAGTTTGAAATTCGAAAATCTTTCAGTTACTCACATAAGCTACTTCTTTATAATTCATTACGTTACTGAAAAAATTTCATGCTAGTTGAGTGTACATAAAAAGCTCGTTTTTCATAAATAGAACGCCAATTTTCCGACTATTTAAAAGTAAATTTTATTACTTTCGATACATTGTTTTATTTTATGTTTGTAAAATAGTGTAAAAATTATATATATATATATATCTGCTCAGCAAGCACAAAA